AAAATATTAGTTATTTAAATATATTATCAATTAATTGATTAAAATATTAATTAATTACACAAACTATAATTTAGTGAGTTAAGGTATAAATTAATTAGTTATTAGATTAATTATTTAGTTAAGCTATTAATATGTATGTTACTTAAGTGTTTTAATCATTTAAAATATTATTAAGTTTCAGATAAGATTAATTAAATTAATTAGGGTGTAATTAAATTTATTTTAAGGTTTTAAACTTTTATTCAAGGCTAATTAGGTGAATTATGCTGTACTTAAGCCTAATATATAATTTTAAAGTTTTGGCTAATACATTTTTAATGAGAATTAGGCTTGTAATTTTAATTTTTTAGGAACTGAAATATATTAATAATATAATTAAAGAGTATACTTTGGGAAGACCTATGCTAATACACCACAAGTTTCAGTTTTGGCTAATTATAGAAGGAAATATGCATATTTTTTTTAATAAAACATCATATAGACATTAAACATTATTATTAACCTGAAAATCTAATTGATTTATTTATATAATGTGCAATATAGAACGTAGAATGAGTAAACATGAAGTAAATTCAAAACTACACCATGAAGTATCTATATAGGTTCACGATTTTCATAAATTAAACATGGGAATATGTTGTTTGTATGGTAAAACATTAAATCAACACATTATAAAAGATTTAAATCAAAAACCATATAAAATGTGTATAGAAATTCTTGTTTTAGAATAAATCATATAAGAACATGTGTGATTTTATACAACAACATCAAATCAACATAATTTGACATTATGCATGTAGGATCCTGATGAAATTTATATACATTTTTTGGTTTTAATTAACTAGACATAGAAATATGTTAAATTTATGTAATTTTCATTATGCATATGCTATTAGAAAACACACTAGGAATTAAAGGCCTATGTTTAATTTTGGTTTAAACATAACCATAATGAAAGTTGGCAAATTTATAATGATATGGATAATATTTTGAAATCATGTGGTTAAATTCTAACATTGAAGTGAAAGGAATGTGATACCTTGGGTTTATGCTGAATTTCCTCTTTGATTGATTTCCCTTGATTGCTTCCTTACTTTTTGTTGAAGAATTATCCAAGAACTATTAGAAGCTCTCGATTTTTAGATGGGGAAGAAAAGGATTTGTGTAGAAGAAAAGAAATCTTTTGAGAAAAGTCAAAAAGGGGATGAGAGATTCTTTGGAATTGAGAATAAAAGGAACCTCCCTTTCTGATTTTCATCCAAGATTGGTCCAATCAAGAGATTTCGGTTTTAAACACATCGACCAGTGAAAAATGACCACAAGGATCGCTGAGGTGGTAATTTAGAATAATTAATTAATTAAACCAATGACATTTTTGTAAATAAGCCCAAAAATGAAAGGTTTTCTGTAAAATTTCCAAGGTTTTTCAAAAATTTTGAAATTATATACTATTTTAAAGAGCACGAAACAAGAAATACAAAAATTCAAATGGTTTGAAAAAACGGAGTTGTGTATCAAAAGTTATGGTTGTTTGAATTTTAAGGATGATTATTTAGATGGTTATCATAGTAGGGGAGTTGACTTTTGACAAAAAATTTGACTTTAGTGAAATTGATAGAATCAAATGGCATACTCAATGCTCCAATTGGTTTTGATGAATTCAAGCTCTATAGAAAGATGTTGCTGGTTAAAGTGGGCCCCATCCTAAGAGAGAAAATATTCAATTTTGACAAAACATTTTTATTGGATTAAATTGTTCCAAAAGGTGTATTTTGAAATTTAAAACAATTTTTATTGAATATTGGAGTCATATTAAAATAATTTTGAAAAGGCTATGGTAAATTATCGCTCTATCCCTCCTAATTATCGTTTTCTTTATCATGGTTATTGTTTGCTCAAAAGGTATCCAAATGGGCTCAAAATTGAGCAACCAAGACTCATGTGAAATATTTTGAAGAGATGGACACAATGGTGAATTCCATTTTCAAATAATGATTCATTGAATAATTTTTTACTGGGTTCATTTTCATGTGTAGCAAGCTTATTAAATAGCTCCTACGTAAAAATTCTTTCAACTTATCATCAGATTGGTTTGCATAGTTCTTATTAGTTATAACAAGCTTCATGCATTTTTTAAAATGAGCTTTTGAGCTTTACTATCATCTTTAGAGAGAAATCAATAATTCTAGGGTTTAAGTAGAATCAGCTCAAGTGAAGTCCAACAACACATCAGGTGATAAAAGGGGGGTTGGCCGAAAATGTGGTCAGCAGTGATGCTAAAGATTTGATCGGTATGCATGTAAATATGAATCCTTAGGTGTTAGCTATGTAAATACATAAGAATTTAATGATTTGTATGTGAATTTCAAGAGAACTTATGTTAAATTTTTGGGATTTAGAACCTAAAATAGAAAACATCTAGGATATAACTTAAAAAATCTTAGTGTTCAGTTAATATTTATAACAATGAAGATTTATACATCACCGAAACTTAATAAACTATCGAGATACGACTCTTTTCATTCAATCAAAAACAATATTTTTGAATTTTTTTAGCTGCAAGTTATTATCATGGAAGTACTAAGGGAATCAATCTATTTGTATATTAGTTCAATAGAAATCTGATGTAAGCACTTTATTGTTTCTGTAAACATTCATTATTTTGATCATTTTGGCTAATTTTGACTCATATTTCATTGAATTGTTTACTTCTATTTGTGTTCTCAATCGAAAACTTGCCTTTTTGTTGATCCTTACTAACTGCTACAGTCATGGGAACATGACCAATATGCACTTTCTTTGTGAAAATATGCACTTTCCTTTTGCATACTTTTTGATTATATGACATTTGGGAAATGTATTTTTGTCATAATGTACTTGGGGGAGAAAAATAGACAAATTAGGAGCAAAAGGGAATTGTGAATGAAAGTTGCCTTCAGGCACACCCACTCCATACATGACGCTAGCTTGCGCCCAACGGTCACACAAGAATGCACCCGCGCTCGTCCCACTTGCACCCGTGCTATACATGCATCCAGTTGTTTCTCAAGACAGAACAAATAGAATACTCGTGCCGCGACTAGGGTGCACCCACGGTGGATCCCAATGCACGTGTGCCATAAGTCAAGCATCTTCGTGCCCCATGCCTGATCGAGGACCAATTCGGTGTTAAATATATAAATAAAAAAAGTTTTGGATGCCCCCCCTATATATATTGATATTCATTTTTTTTTAAATTTTTCATTTTTTTTTGGAACGGTTCAGATGAACTTGTCTTCAACTAGGCTACATTTGAGACAACATCTATGACGCTTTCTGCTTTAACAAATGGAGGTCAATACTTACGACTATCGGCAAGTCGACCTATACGTATCACCGAGAGTTGTTCGTTGTTCGTGAAAAATTTGTGTTCGGCTCATTAATTAGTCAAAGACAAATATTTTTTTTACGCTCGAACACAAACAAAATGCTAGTCTTTTGTGTTCTTTTTGCAAGAGCTAAATTATATATATATATATAAAATTATTAACTAAAAAATAATTTAAATAAAATTTTTAATTCAAATAATGAGATTTAAATCTCGTCCATATCTTTAACATCTCATGACTACGTGATTATGGCTATCAAGATCACTTGTTGTTCAAAGCAGTTTTTGTTCTGCTCGCTAAGCAAACAAACCAAACATAATTAATTTTTTTCAGCTCAATATATAAACAAAACATACACGAACAATAATATTTTTTAATGACACTAAGATAAGCCAATTCTTAGCTCCTTCAAGTCAGGCTCATTTATACACCGATTCCACTCGTTTATACCCAGAATATCACCAGCGAGACGGTATACACAATTCATGTCGGCGGCCATGATCGGTCAGATCAGCTCGATAGCCCACGTTTTCATTTTTAATTCCGACAGCCATTGAACAAAACCGCTGTTCCAATCTCTGTGCCCCGTAGGCGATTTTTTCGGCTTTATTTCATTCATATCTACTACTTCCGGATCATAGCACATGCAGCACCATTTTCCCACTTGGCCAATAATACCGAACCCATCCCTGATTACCAATAAACAACTGCCACGTGCACATTGTCATTCATTTGTCCCTTCCCTTCTGTCCCACGGCTCCCTTACCTCCCCCAGTCCCAACCACAAACCAACTTCATAAACAATGACCACAACGCTTAAAATTATGTGGTTTATATATTTAGCAATTATAATTATAGTTTTAAATATTTAGCATCTAAACTATACTCTTCATGGATATAAACTTAATTTTATAAGATCTCATAACTACTTCCTCCTCTCCTTCGTCATCCCACAAATGCTCGTGAAATTTTTCATAATATTTAGACTTTTCGAGAGATCTCCTCCAAATCACTACTATCAGTGTCGAAATCGTGAGCATCAACATGTAGGTTTCAGATCCAAGTGGTAGTATCAGGACCCTCAGCTACTGTTCTTGAGAAATAGTCAGATCTGACCCATTCCTCGAAAGATGTTTTTATAGGATTCCTGTCTGCAACAATTTTCACTTCGGATTCCGACGAACGAATAATCATTAAGTCAGCTCTACATGTGGACTCCAGAAATATGCCATAATGTGCATTATATCGAGTCCACCTAAAAAAAATTAAAGTGGAACCGAGTAGGTTATTAGAGTGAGACCGCGAAGGTTATTTAGAAGGGTTATTGAGAGGCTATTGGGGCATTAACTCAAATAACGTTGCAATTCCGCCTCAATATTCTTCGTGGTTTCACTCCAATAACCTTCACGTTTCATTTCAAAAACCTCCTTGTATCAACTCCCGTGATTTCACGTTAATAACCCCTCAATAACCTCTACGCGGCAACATATTAGTGGTAGTCAAAGTTTCATGAAGCTATTTATCAAACTGTTACATCACATAAATAATAAAATATAAGTTGTAAATATATAATTTCTAAAACTTAAATGCTATTTATATAAATTCCTCCTTGCATATTCTTACATTGCCAACTAAAGCCAATACTACTCCGTTGTCTCCATTATCTTCCTCTCTCCCACCAGATCCCGAGAAGAACTTCAATGACTCCTCAAAAACCAACCGGAGAAATAGCAGAGCAGAACAAAAGTGGGATTTTCAGCTTTCTGTATCTCTTCGACGAGCAATGGTTCTTCTGCAACGCTCTGAAATTGCCGTCGGTGTTGATTGAGAAGACGACTTCTTCTTCGGCTCGCCAATTGGTAAGAACTCCGTCAGTGCTGCCGACCGGACAAGAAGGTTCGGCGCCGGCGAACTATAGCTCCGGCAATGGTCGAAAGCTGAGATGCTCTTGCTGCTCCTTAGAAGCTACTGTTCCGCAGTCTGTATTTTCTTATTCTGCTCCGAAGGTATTTGCTCTGCTAAAGACTTCTTTTTATTATTTGCAATTTTTTGCATTCTTTTCAAAAAATCTTTATTTCATGATAGAAAATAGAATGAGCCTCTTGAAATGGCAATTTTTTTAATATTTTATAGACATAGAAAAATGGAAAAAAAAAGATTTGATTCGGCGAATTTTCTCAGTTGGTTGAACATCCGTTTTGGCGGTGTAAGAGTCTGTTTGATGCAGCTTATTTGGTGCGGTGACATTTTAAAAACACACCTGACCTGTTTGGGTAAATTATGTTTTGGCAGCTTATGCGTTTTCAAAACGCTGAAAATAGCGTTTTCACACCGCACCTATCTAGGTGTGGTGGCAAGTTTCTGGCAGCAGTGTAAATTTTCCAAAAAATTATAAATTTGTAATAGCCACCGCAACTATCTTATCAACAAATTATTTTTAATCAGCTTATCAGCAGATTATTCAATAAACTGCAGCTGCCCCAAACAGACCATAAATCCCCACTAGACTGAGGCTCGAATCCCCCAAGCTACTGATGCTATATGGGGGTGATACTTGAGTGATTAGGTGCATAGGTCCAACCCAACCTGACGGGTTGCGAGCCGGGGGTGGTTGGCATTCCACCCGTCAACCATCTTTTATATATATATATATATATATATATGATAGTAGCACATCACAAATAAGAACTATAGTCTAACATCTTTTATATATATATATATATATATATATATATATATGATTATTTAGATAAGACAAAAATATTAACTCATAGTATAATTGTTTTAGTTGTATTCAATGGGTAGCATGTTAGTTGGATTGTAGAAATAAAGTAAAAAATTTTCAGAGTATAAAATTTGAGTGTTCATTTTGCTCGGAAAAAATGGTTGCTTTAACTGAAAAATATTTTTAGCTATATTTTCATTTTACTTTTGAAATAAAAGTAAATTAGTATTTTGAGTATGTGTACTTTTATTAAGAACTAATAAGCATTTTTTTTCTCGTTATAATGATATTTTATTTTGAATAAGTATTTTTCTCACTTAATGCATTTTGTATTAGAATATTGTAAATTTTAGGGGCATATGCAAGCCTATCACATAATTCTTGAATATTTAAGTTTCTAATAGCTAAAATTTTACTTTTATATGTGTAACTCTCAAATTCTTAATATCATATTAAAAATAACACCATTATCAAGTGTTAAGGTGAAATATAAATGTTTATGAGATCAAAATATTATAAATGTGTATATCAAACATTGTGTTAGATATATGTATTGTACATCGGTAATGTGCTAGTGTTGATCTCGTTGAGATATAACAGTCTAGAAAGAAGATAGTGCGCAAATGAGAGCCCACCGGTAGAAGATTAGGAGGCTCACTTATCTGATCACATGCATCTGTCTGAGACATAGCAAGTGAGGCCAAAATATGCCTAAGTCGCGATGGAGACCGAATCCAAACAGTTTGGTCAGAAATGAGACTAAGAGATATTTGATCCAACTAATACGTATAAGAAAGTCTACTGAAGGCAGTGATGCCCGAAATTGTTGCAAAGCAAGTAGGTTAATCGCTTAAATATACGTGTTGATCAATTAATATATGAAAACAAATTTAAGTATCAATCTCACGAGAAAAGTATTAAAATATTTCTAACAGGGGAAGTTCTAGTTTACTAAACCGTTAAGTTTAGTTTGAACATGTAATTGCAGGTAGAAAATTGTAGAGTCCTGAAACAAAAAGAAGAAAGCAAACTACATTTTTGTTTAGATATGTAAAGCTTATACTTCTATGACACGGGTTTAACAATTTCTTGAAGTTTCTTTCCTATGGAACCATGTTATTGCTGACAACCGAAGATAAAAGTTTCTCCCTAGTCTATGCCTAGGTCATAAGAAGAGTAAAAGACATTATAGAGTCAAGGGGCACTTAACCCTGTAATGTTTCTCAAGATTATTCAGATCTCCTATCTAAGTTACAAAATCCTAATGATAATATGCTTATGTCATTCATTCTTCTAGGAGACGAGTAGAAATTCTATCTCACAAAAGATTTCAACATTTTATCATGTCCAAATCGAAGTAAATTAAGTCTAAATATTTAACTCATCGACATATGAAATTTGTGCATATAACACCTTCGAGGGAGCAAAACCATAGAATAATATGAGCAAAACGCATGATTTACATCACAGGAGCATGAAACAAAGTCAATCACAATACATGTGAAAAGAAAACATGAAAAAATTTTATTGCAGGCATAATAATAAAGATTGTTGTGCAAGAGATTCAAAAAATTCACTCAAAGTAAATCAGTCCTTAGCAATGTAACTCGTTCCTCTATACTCAACATAAACTCTCACAAATCTCCTCTCATACAATTGCCCTCATCCTGTCTTCTCCATTCTCACAGAAATCTCAACATAAACTTTGAAAAAAGATACCCTAGAAGTTCCCTCCTTCCCAAAAGAAGAAGTGAATCCTAAGGTTTTCTTTCCAACCCTCAAAGCTACCGTGTAGAGTCTCCAAAATCAGCCAAAAACTCCATTAGCATATGCAATAACTTCTCTTTTATAACATTGGCCGAATTCAACAAAAACAATTTCCCAAATCAGTGCTTGGTGATCCAGTGGTGTGACCACTCCAGTGGTTTGCGTGGCTATGCCATACCTGGCGTAGTCACACTTAGATTCGGTGTTGTTACGCCAATCCTGGTGTAGTCAAGCCCATATTTGGTGTGGTTATATTGGTCTCCTCCATTACAGTGTTTTTTACTTCGTTATGAACGACTGACACTTGCAATTACAAAATATTACTAAGAACCTTCTACAAACATAAAATCATGATAAATAAAAAAGAAAATATGGTGTGTAATACAATGAAATAACGTAATCATATCACACGAATTCAACATAAAAAATTATATATATATTATATATATTACTAAATAACATCGTAATTTATAAGCTAAAATTAAAAATAAAATTCTAAATGAATATTATTTTCCTAACGAAGTAGCATGTGCGTTCTTGCATGATTACTAATAATTTAATTCATTACAGCGCATCAACACCATCAATCATTTTCAGAAGAATAATTAATTAAGATCACAATCATTCAAAATTAAGAATGTAATCTCCACTAATGATTCTTGGCTTCGCTGAGCCGCAGGCGTAACTTAAAGTGCGCTGTTCCGTGAATAATCGTTGATCTTTCAATAATTTATTTAGATGAATCTAAAAAATCATATTTAATGGAAAGAAATAGGATTTGAATAATTTGAATAGGATGAATTTTTTTTAATTTTTATTATTTGTGAGATAAATAAAATTTATGGATACTTTTTTATTTTTTGATAAATTTAGTTATAAATATTTTAAAATGTAAACTTTCCTATTTAATGCACAGATGATTATTTCTGTAATGTCTGGTCGTGAGCAGAATATGTGTAAATGGGTCGATTTGGGCTTGAGTCATTCTCGACTTGAATTATTGATTAATTTATACGAGTTGGAACTCGAGCTCGAGTTTAGGTCTATGAGTTTGAACCCATTAAATAAATTCCAATGAGTCATTCTCGCCTGCTTTATTTAGATGAAAGAAAGAAAAAATTTTAAATTTAAACTAATATTATAATTAAATGATAAATATATGAGTAATTAAGGAATAATTAATAAGAAATCACTTGATATAATATAAAATGTAAAATATCATTTTTTAAATATTTTTACTAATTTAGAGAAATTTTTTAAAATTTTAATATATTATAAATATAGTATTTTATTAGTTATTTTTTAAAAGAGCCGACTCACAAGCTAACGAGTTTAGTCAGGGTTGACTTGAGCTTGACTTGTTAGCTCATTACTTTGGTTCACCCGCCACTTATCGAGTTGAGCCCGAGCCGGTTCAAGAGTTGGCTTGACCAAAGGCAAACCTAGGTAAGATCCAAGGGGCAATTCCCTTCCTTAATTTTCAAAATTTTGCTTCTATGGGAATACAATTTGGTGTTTTGCTCTTCTTAAATATTAGTTTTGCTACTCCTTATCCTAGCTCATTGGAAAAAATATTACATCCGGACCGGATGTACGAACAACGGCCCGGACGCAGCGGAGGAGGGGAGGAATCAGATCTCCGTCCTTCTCGCTGCATTTGGGCCGTTGTCCGGACATTCAAAGTCCGAATATAATATTTTCTCCTCGGATTGGGTCTAGAGGGACAGTTTGCCCTCCCGACTCTTAAATTAACTCACTTACATCTCTAATACCAGCCTAAAGAGGCATCAACATAATTAATATTTTTATATTAACAAAAAAAATAAACAAATAAAAAATTAATATTGATTTTATGAATAAATATTAACTGGAACAATGAACAGTGCATCAGTGAAAAGCAGAGAGCAGCCAGAACCGAAGCTCCAGCCCGGCGCTGCGCGAATCCGCACCTCATCCTGTGCTGGGAAGCTAGAAACAGAAAGACCCTTCAATATAAGAAATGGAGGAGCCTCGGAGATCTGGAGACGATGGAGTTGCAGGGCTTCAGAGACCTCGGCTTCGTGTTCGATGAAAGGGAAGGACTGTTTCGATGCATTCGAGGGAGAAAGGAGGAGGAGGAAGAAGATGGGGGGATGAAGAGTTCTTATCTACCGGCGGCTTGGTTGACGCGGAGGCCGGCTCCGCCGATGGTTTTAGGGTTAGGGTTTTGGTCGGGGGAGGAGATGAAGGAGCAGCTACGGTTCTGGGCCAGAGCGGTGGCTTTTAATGTTCGGCAGGATTGCTGATGGATTTTAGCAGTTTATGCGTTGGGAAATGGAAATTTACATACGTACCCACCCATACGCAACAATGCATACATTAGGAGAGGTTATACAGAGGGTATTGGGGGTTATATCCGTGTTATACCCATTGTAACTTCCTATAACCTACCTGCAACCTACAAATAAGTTTTGCACTTCTGTTTTCATATATATGTATGTTACAGACATGTTATATGGAGGTTATAGGAGATATAACACAGATATAATCCCTTGATACAGGAGATATAACACAGATATAATCCCTTAATACCAAGATATAACCTCCCCAATACCCTCTCTATAACCTCCTGACATACGCAACGCTGCGTACTTCTTCCGTACGCAAAATTTTCTCCAATTCTTTTGTGTTTATTCTCACATCAAAGCTTAGTTTTTTATAACTGAAGCATCTTAGATTTATCTATTGTATGGTGTATAAAAGTATGAACTGAGAGATGAGTTTGTAAAAATGAGAGCTTTTGTGTGAGACATGTAAACGCATCATAATTGATGGTGTGCATGTAAATTTCCCTTCTTTTTTGGGGGTTTGGCATATCAAATGTACAAAATTTTAAATTCAATGTTTTGGTCATCTAAACTTGAAATTTTACATTTAAATCACTCAAAATTTTATTTCTTTTGAAACGGTCTATCTATTATGTTCAGAGTTTTTTATGATTATTTTTTTATTGAAATGTAAAATTTTAAGTTTAGTTGGTCAATTAGTTATATTTTAATTTCTTTTTGTAATTATTATGTAAAAAACCTCTTTTTTTTTCATACAAAAGGATTTAATAATTCTTGGTTGGGTGAGAAGGACTTTGATTTTATGGAGAATTTTGGGCATAAAGATATGTCAGGATTTGATAATCTGAGTTATATTAGAATTAGCTTAATATATTTATTTTGTGATTAGCGTAACAAAAATTTCTTACATGTAATATTAATTTCAAAATAAATTCAATAGATTATAAGCTTAGCCACATGCACTTCATATCAAAAATATCCTTACAACATTTTGCAAAAAAAATTTATGTGTTCAGCCTATTAAGCTATATGTATTGTGCCAAAATTACTGATGCCATTGTGCACTAGTATAAGTTTGGCAATTGAACAATATAGCGTAGCTTGTGTTGATACATGAGTATAAATGATCAAATTTATGCATCTTTCAAATGAATAAGGTGACAAAATTGACAGCTAACTAAGGATTGCTTTCTAAGCTTAGGGTTATGTTTATGAGATAAGGTATATATTATTGAATCTTTTTAGGACAGCTGGGAATTTGTACAATTTGTGAGCTTATACAAACCAGAAGAGACATGAAGAAAGAGTGGTTTGGAAGGGGATGGGTGTATGCTTCAGAAGTTCTCCCTCTTTATCCCTCGAAAGAATCATAAGGGAGGCGCAATAGAAAGAGAGAGGAAATATAGGTTGATGAAAGAGAGCTCCCCAAGAAGACGGGAGAGGCTCTAGTTATAATGATTCTAGATGTTCTCTTCCACCTCTTCCGAATTACAAGGATTGAATATTAATCAAGATGATAAGTGGCACTTCAGCAAGTGAGTCTGGTGACTCACCTTAACAAGCCTAACTTGGCAACTAGTACGTGACAACTAGTATACACATTATAGAAAAAATGGGCTTCAATGCCCGCAAGACCTGTTAATAAATGCTTCGACCCATAAGAAAATTTGTATTAGTATACATTTAGTTCTCAAATTTGCTTAATTATCCTACAGACTGAAAAAAGAATAAGATAATGAAGAATATGACAACTTTACATATTAAAAATTTTTAACCTCCTTTGACATCTTGGCAAATGTATTTGTTGACCAGCGGCTCGACTAAGTGATTGCCTCTCATGATCCCATCAAGCTAAGACGTCAAATCTTGCAAAAACGGGAGGAAAAAAAATGAAGACATATATAAAATATTCAGGCGCAAATTTGTCACTCGGAGATAACATGGCGTCATTTAGTATGGAGACAAAGCCAAACCTTCTCCAACAACGCCATAAATCAACTTAGCTAAGCAACTCCTCTCTGATGGGAGACTTATCTTGCAACATCTTCAATTTTTTGGGATCATCCCGACTGACATGAAAGAAGAGAGTATTCTCCTTCTTTATTTTTGATTATATATGTAATTTGTGACTTAATCATGCCAAAGCAAAAAGCCACCACATAGTCTGGTGTTACTCTACTAAGATACAAAGAGTTTGAAATCTAAAAAAATAATATTAACAGACCTTTGCTATGCTTTAAAAATCTCTATATGTATTTAATAGGTATTTATCAATGCCTATTTTAGTGATTAATTATGTTACATAATTTAATAGTTGAGAAAAAATAATTAGAATTTTGATTTAGAAAAATTTTTAAATTTATGGGTTAGGAAAGTGTAAAATTATAGTAGATAACTACTTTAAAATTTTAGATTGAATTTTTAGGATTAAGATATAAATATTCTTCTATTGTTCCAACTCAAATTATTAAACAAATATGAGCCTCCGCAAGAATTTCATTAACAAAAACTCTTTAATATTCATAATAAAATCTCTTATATTTTCAATTATAATTAAAAAAAAATTTTGGCTTGCCTTAAAAAAATCATAGCTATACATTGAAGAAGTCATTCCATGTGTAAGACAATAAACTTTTGAATTATTTTTCTATTGAATCTCACTATTGACGTGATGTGTGTTTGGCTGAGAACATATTGAAATAATACTTTTATTCGAAAGAAAGTATATGAGATTGAAATGTAAAGAAAGTTGGTATGCAAAGCTTTGAAGGATTAGTAAAATTTTAGTGCAAATTTCGCTGGAATTTATAAGTGATGGTGTGTACATTAGACATAAACATGGACATAGGTAGCAGATAAACCACAATAAAATATTTGTGTTAAATAATTTTAATCTTTATATTTGATTTTTTTACTCTACTTATTTTTATTTCCATCTTATTAATTCGTATCATATCAAAGTCATGATAAGAGATTAATAAAATTTTTGAAACCAACATTTTCCATCAAGCTATTCATCCAAGTTAAATAATTCTTCATGGGAGCACTATGAGATATAAATAAGAGAACCCTTGTTGAGAGAATTGATGAATAAAATTTTACCAAAATTCTAATCAACTGATTAAAAAAGGATGAAAGGTTAGCCTCCAAATAGGTTTACTTGATAGTTGATTGTGAAGTGTCTAGCTTATAAGAATGATATCGAAAAAGGAAAAAAAGTAAAAGATAAGAGGACTCTTGCAAGAAAACAATACTTGAATTTAAGTGGTTTTGCAAGTTGGAATATAACAAGTATATCCGGAGAGAAGAAATCTTCACATTTTTGGGGAAGAAGAAAGGATGCGAGTTCTCCAATATCCTAAGCTCTCAATCATTTAGGTTGTAAGGTTAAGCCTCTATAATTCTCAAGAAATCAAAGCTTCTTTCTAGAAGAAACAGAGGGAATTTATGGTTCGGATATTGCTCTACAATAATATTTAGGAAGAGAACAATGTGTTGGCCATGATAAAGAATAATTATGATTAGTTGCTAGGTGGTGATCATTAGGCCCTCAAATGATTGGATGGAGATTAGGCTAGAGAGCAAAATAAAGGATTAGAAGAAAGTCTTATGATTTGAGGATATTCCTTGCTTGATTATTTCTCTTCACTAAAGTGGCACATGACATTATAGGAGTGATTGGATAGGGCAATGATGGGTAAATTCATGTAAGGGTCAAATGTTGAATAATCTAAAGTTTAAGGGGAGTGCCCGATCAGAATGGATTTCAAGTAAATGCATACAAGTCATTCCTATTAGTAGCTATGGCTTATATGGTCGACATGATAAAGATAAAGCTTGGTGAGGAACCTCCCACTAGGATGATGATGCATTATGAATCTAGATAGTTAGATGACACTGAAAAACTTATTGTTCTAGTATGCTAAAAAGCTCCACCTTAATAACTTCTAAATTTGATTTACATACGAAAGAAGACTAATTAAACTAGAGTTCAAAGTTATTTTGACATGTGGACGACTTAAATGGATCATACAAATTAAGGTCTCAGACTTCCTCCTCATTCTTAAGATTTTAGTCATACACATGCATGGTTTACGTAAAATTAAGAGTAATCTAAATGCTTAGAATAGATGGTTTGGTTATTGATGCTAAAGCACACCAAAAAGTTGTAGTTCTGTCACCAACCAATGTTCATCAATGGATGCTTAATGTTACCATGTGGTGCTACTTAGAAAGTAACAAAGATCAAACATGATTGGGCCATAGAAAGGCATCATGCATCAGGTAATTGTTAGGATGAAGTTTCATATATTCGTGCTATCATGAATTATGAGGAACACTTCACTACTCACAAGAATCACATATATGGTAATTTGTTCCCCCAAAAGTGGAAGATGTTAAAGTCAATTCTTAAACAAACAAGTTTCAATTAGGGCCTCATGTTCGACTTTTTTGAAACTGCTCATGTTCGAAATCGGCTCGTTAATAGTGTGTTCATGTTCGGCTCGATTTAAATATCCGTATTCGTGTTCGGTTCGTGTTTGGCTCGAAATTGGCTTATTAAAATTATATTGAAAAAAAAATAGATGTAAAATATTGGATTCGAACCTAGACCAATTGTATGCAAAATAAAACGCTAACCACATTACCACACAAGGTATTATGATTTAAACTTAGATATAAATATATATAATATATTATTATATAAATAATATACGTAATATATTATTATATAACTAATTATATAAGTTTTTTATTTCGAGTTAAAACGAGCCGAACACGAGCAAACAAAGTGTTGTTCGTATTCAACCCGTTTATAATTTGAGCTTTAAAAACTTGTTTGTGTTCGACTCGTTTACTTAACGAACGAGCCGAACACGAGCTACTTAGCGAGCTGAACACGAGATATTCGCGAACAACGAGCTTTTTTGACAGCCCTAGTTTCAATTGGTGCTTTATTCATTGTGTAAAAGTATCAGAGCTAGTTGAGGATACATCTTGTACTAATTAGGCAAATGTTAAGCACTTTCTACATTTTGAGGAAAAAAAATCAATTATTCATAATTATAAAATTTGTATAAGATATTGATATGTAGGCTTATCACTTAAATTTTTATAGAGCATCATATTCTATAGTCTACCTAAATGTGAATAGAAAAAGGAAAATTTTTTACTCATAATTTTGAAAATTCAATAAAAACAGACACCACCGGAACAAAAGCTTCACGCGGCTCTTTTCGGTTTCCCCCGCGACGTTCTGAAACTTCCAGTTTAGCATCTCCGTCATATTTCTCTCTATAATGTCAAAAGAGGATCGGCCATTATTGTCTAACTCTGTGCTCGACAACGATGATGATCAACAGTCACAATGGCGATTCTTCTTCTCTGTTTTGAAGAAACTAAGGCGCAATATTCAGAGATAGAAGGAAAGGTTTGGTAACTGACATATGAGTGAACTTTAGAGAACCAGTCGTCTGCAGGTTGTTAATGGCGTATATGTTGGACGACGACTGCGATTATCTCTTCAAAGTCGTGTTGATCGGAGACTCAGGGGTTGGGAAGTCGAACCTACTGTTTCGGTTCACGAAAAACGAGTTCAGCCTCGAATCGAAGTCCACCATTGGTGTTGAGTTCGCTACCAGGAGCATCCGCGTCACCGAAAAGGTTGTCAAGGCTCAGATTTGGGACACTGCCGGACAAGAAAGGTGTTGATCAATCTCAACCGTTTTTATTTTTTTTTTTCAAACTTTTGTTGTTTGCCATTACCGTAATTTTCAAACATTTGGTGTTGTATGTTGGTATCATTCAGATTCGAATCAATGGGGTTTTGCTTGCTTTGTTATAATCATGGGACGGGCTTTAGGTTTTACCGGGTCTCAGGGTATCGGTGTGGTAGCTCTTTTGACAATGTCTTCTCTCTTTATCAATAGGAATAATTAGGATCCCATAAATTAACTATGGTACTTGGAAAGGTTCAATTACTCACCCAATAAAGAACCTTTTATTTGTCATTGTTGGAATTAATCTGATGAATTTATCACGGTCGAATTACTACGGTGGGCCGGACAATATCCATGCTCGATCTATGTTTTGTTGCCAAGGTAGCTTGGAAATCAGTTTGAGGTGTTTATAGGATCCACACCACTTTCACAAAAGCACATAATTTGAAGAGAGAAAAAGGGATACTGAGAGAAAGAAAGAGCTGGGGTGAGAAAGCAGCTCTTTAAATTTGCTTGCTCAGAGGAATTGAGTACAAAGATTGTGTAATTGAATTTTGCACATAAGATTGCTGATATTAATTTTTCCCCCGAATCTTAGCTTTCATTTATAGATTTCGGGTGATGCTGCCTAAGCTACATAATTGGCTACACAGAAAAAAGATAAAAAATACTAAAGAAATTGTGATACTATAGTGTGTTATGTAGCTTTATAGTTGCCAAGCTACTGACTTAGCTAACAACCACCTTCGAGTTGGCGAACTGGTGAGTCGTTGAATAAATGAGATCTAAGATTGTTCGGGTCGAGCTGTATATTGATGAGCATTGTGGTGGGTTGAGAAGTAGTATGGTTACTTTCTCTGCTTCTGCGGAGCCGATATTTGAATAGATTTGACTTAGACTAGGGTATGAGTCAACTTTGAAGGATCTTAGGTTTTGATTGAGTGGGCAGGTATTTGACCATACATAACTAATTTTTTGATTCTTTTATCATTTTATAAGTACATTGAGAGAAGAATAAGAGCATTAAATGCATTAGATAATTAATTAATAATCCTTTTTCATTTTAGTTGCATAGCTTTATAAATATGGGAACTCTTGTCTCTCTCTTATGAGTTATACTTTTTGAATTTTTGTTGCCTCAAAATAATTGAAAATCCTTGAGAATTAAGATTGATATTGCAAATGAAAACTTGATCGTCGAATTCTTCAACAAGTGCAAAGAAGTAGAAGGTTCTTCAACAAAGTAGGAAAAGAAAACCCGATACAGTTGAACCGGGTTGAACAGGTTGATGTCATAAATATAAAAAAATATTAAATATAATATAAATTACATTAAAATTAGATTAAATTCAGTATGAAAAGTCAACAAAAGGAAAACATAACAAAGTAAATATAAAAGCGTAAAAAAGAAAAAAGTAATAGACTATTAGTCATGCATATTTTGCAAAAGGTAAAGAAAACAATGTAGCTATGGATGATTAAAGCAAGACACATTCTTCATCATATTAAAAAATTTAAATCATTCTTCATGATTTTCAATAAAAATATTGCATAGGACAAATAATTACACTTTAACCGGTTGACCGGTTCAGCCGCCGGTTCTATCCAGTTAACTAATTCAACTACTGGTTCTGCCGGTTCTTTCCGGTTCGATGTGGAGCCGGTTTTCAAGCCTACCAGAATCGGACCACCAGTCGGTTCACAGTCAAACCAGTCAGTTTGGTTCAGTTTTTAAAATATGGGAAAATAGTAAAAGTCAAAGAGGCCTAGGATCTGGGAGCTTCTACAGAGGTGCCAGCGAATTGGCCATTGTTCTCATCTATGCTCATCTCAAATGAGTTTAAATGCATTAGCGGCCCTACTCTTTTTGTAGAGAACAGTGTTGGCACAAAAGATTTGTGATAGATTTTTCTCTTAATTTAGAATAATATGTTATGAAGTAGAATGGAGAAAAAATATTTTCATAAATTTGTTTATGATGGGTGAGATGCTTGGTGGTGAATCTTCAATCAATGTATACTACAAACCTTTGTTCTTAAGTGACATTGGATCTTTAAGTATGGGCTAAATAGTAGCTGATCTTAATTGTTCGATTGACTACCTCTTATGATTTTATTGATATAGTGGATAGAAATTTGTTTATACCTTTCTTCCCTGTAAAGTACTGAGCCGACTACTTCTTCATCCACACCAAGGTATAACAAAAGGTATTCTCTTGGTTTTAGACTTTGAAGTAGAGGTGTTAAATGTATAAATGACTTTAGATGAGTGAACCCTTTTCACACACTTTGTTCTAGGAGAGTTGCTTTGCATTTCTCAGCACTTTAAAGAATGTCGAGCACTTATTGTCCGAATTGCAGATGAGCCTACCTGCTTTGATATTTGATCTTATTAGCTTTTGCCGCTCTTTGATTTTCTTGGTCGATTGCTTCTCAAGGATCACTTTGAACTTTTTGGTTTCATTTTAATGTCATCAGTTGTGAGCAAAAAACCTAAAAGTTTGTCTGTTATGATGCCAAAAGTGCAATTGAGTTGATTGAGCCTCATGTTTCCAAATCGAGTATATGTTATGCATGTGATTTGCCTTTTATAGGTACATCATCCATATATATCTCCAGGTTTTTAATTTTGAATTTTGAAAATTTTATCAATCAAACATTTATGAATAGCTCCCATACTTTTAAGGTCAAATGACATTATATTATAATTAAGGAGCCTATCATCAATAATAAAAGTTGTCTTCTCTAAGTCAGCTACGTGCATTTTGATTTGATGGTGCTCAATAAATGTGTTGCGAAAGCTCATTACTGAATAGTCGACCACTGTGTTAACTAAAACATCTATGTGTGGTAATGAATATTTGTTCTTCAGGTAGTTCGAGTTCCAATTGTTGATGTCCATGTGCAACAACAATTTGGCAAGTCTACTATGAAGAAGTTGGCCATGATATTAAACTATCTTTTTTTCTTCTCCCCATGTTACAGGCAAAGTGATTACACTGGTTGTCTCCTTGCACTCTTTAGAGAGTCCATAGAGTGGTCCTGAGGTAGGCGTTAGTCGATAGTTTCCAAATTTATCTTGTTATAAACACCTTTGAAGATGATGTTTATTGAGCTTATGGTGTATTTGAATGTTACCAATTTGATAGTTGATTATTAGTCTTGTACAAACTATGAAAATATTGTACATGTTATCATTTTTTGGTAGGTTATCATCTGTTAATGTGTTTGGAGGTATGGTAGAGGCTGATGGTTTGGAGGAGCTTCTCAAGTTAACCTCTTCCAATTGCAATCATTTAAGGCTTGAGTGGTGAGAAGTGCGGGATTGGTAAACCCATAATTTACTTGAACCACACCGACCTTGTGGATTGTCTAAGCTGGTACAGACTCATATCTATCTTCTTTCATTGGTGTCTTTGTTGGTATCCTTGTGTTTGGGTCGGTGAGCATAAATTTGTTCACCTCTTAACTTTGATCAGCTTCTCAATTAAGTTTCAGAGATGAAGACACTCTTCTTTATCAGGCTTGTGATCTCTATTTATGGGTGACCCTCTAGATCTCCTTAGCACTAGCCTTTTAAGAATTTTTTTTTATTTTGGATGCCTCGACTAGTTTAGCTATCAAGATTCTCATTGGAGTTGAGGTTGGAAGTGGATGGGTTAGAGGTAGTGATCTCTCTATTCTGAGTTTATCACAGTGATCCATTCTATGATGAGTTAACCTTTCTAATGGTTTAAATCTTCCTCTATCAAGAAATCCTTCCTTCTTTATGAATTTTTTTACCTTCCCTCTTTCCCCTTCTGTTAGCAACGAACTTGTCTCATAGTTTTATTCCTCTGTGACAACGTCATTGTTAAGAGCTCGAGTAACTGAACTAAGGTTATGATGTTGAAAACTATGAGCATGTATGTTCTTTCTTTGTACAAATAATTACAAATATAAATCTTGGCATCGATTGTTAGATGACATCAATTGCAATCGAACTTAAGTGCTGGAGCTAGCAATTGCTAGAAGCCATGCTTTGATATTTATGACTTGTGAGAGTTAGAGAAACTCTCATAAAAAAATACTATTTGAAGTTATTTTATAATTTATTAGATTGAGATACCAGAAAACTTTGCTTCACCAATAAAACCCAAGATAATGAGCTCAAATATGAAAAACTATTCTAGATAACATAAATTTTTGAAAAGTAGTTGAAAGGCTTGTAGCATAATCACAACTTGAAAAGCAAAGCTAATACAAAGTTGTCCCAAATAGACTGCGCATACTTATTATTTCTTATTTTAATCTTCTTTAAGATCAACCTCTTCTACTTAGATATGCAAAAAAAAAATCTTTTACTCATTTCACTCATATTAACAATGTTGTTTGAAATCTTTCATTCAAAATCCTTTGTGTGGATAGCTATAGAAAGGACGGAGGTACTATTTCTTTAATATGTGTTTGAATTCTTCTCTTTCAACGACTTTTGGTGCCTTCATTTGACCCATTATATGCAAGGTTGTTAGTTTTGAATTTGAATCTTTCTTCTTAAAATATCCTTTTGATGTGCCAAGGAAGAGCTTTTGGGATCTTCTAAATTCTTCTAGGATCTTTTGTTAGATTTTAGTAGTTTATAGAAAATTTTTTATATTTTTTAAATTTAGACCTCCTTTGGAAAATTGATTTAAGTTAGATTTTCCTTGATCGTTCTCATTTTTTTGAATATTTTAAAAAGTTAGTAAGTGTATTTGTTGATTGTGAAATTGAGAAGTCTCCAAATACGCGATTATTAAGATTCTTTTTATAGAATGGTCCTTATAGTTGACTAAATCTTTAATGATGAGGTCCTATTTTCATGAATTCCACTTTGCTTTTGGTTGGCTAAGTGTTGCGGTAGCACTCCCTTGCTTGCCCCACCCAAAAATTTTATGGTGTTATTATTTCTACAAAAAATTTCAAGAGGAAACAACAACAACAATAACAACAATAAATATCTATCCT